GGAGGGGGGGGGGGGGGGAAACCAATCCACACTGGTTTGACTTCCATGGCCCTCCCACCCCACTCCCAATGATCAACCCTGGTCTCGTTCCCATACAAAAAGACAATTAAAAAAATCCAAATCAAAGCAGCCACAGTAATTCAGGAGCTGGGGCTCCAGAGACTAGTATACTCCAAATGAGGAGGAACAGCGAGAGAAAGACAAAGAAACAGGGAGAGAGAAGAGCAGATGAACCATCACAGTCTGTCCTGGGTCAGGCTCACTGGATTTATTTGTGCTCCTTCGTTGGAGCAAAGTACAACTCCATGGGCTTGTTGACTTTCCAGTACTTCTCGCTCACCAGCTCCAGAGAGAAAGAGCCATTCAGGACCTGTGATGGAGAAATGGCCACTGTCATACTGAAGAAATATATGCATGACAATCACCACAGTTTACAGGAATAGGATTTTTAGTTCATGTGATGTCACATCTGTATGCATGTGCATATAAAAACCATTTTTTGTTCCCCAAAGAACCTTTTACTCATATTAGAAGAACCATTTTTCTTTGTGTGAAGAACATTTGAATAATCTAAAGAATCTTTTTCCTCTATAAAAGGTCCATTTGTGAAATGGGAACAATTCCATGGATGTTAAAGATTCTTCAAAAACTTTGTTCTTTTGACAGGAGATCTAAATAGTTTGGCTTGAAAGCAATGCAAAATTGACAAGCTTGGTGAAGCTTGGTTGAAAATGGTGTGGCATCCAAGTAGAAGTATGAGATGTTAAATGTTTATCATATCACAATCTTTGTCCAAATGATCAGAATATGATTGTTTGACCATATTGTGCAGCCCTAGATGAAGCGGCACCAAACTTACCGTGAACTGGTTGTTTGCGGTAGGGATGTAGATGGTGTACTGTTTTTCGCTGGCTGCCTCTACGTTGATGGGACTTGCCTCTCCGTTTTTGCGCAATTCCTCCAAAGCCAATCTGACAGCCAAGTATTTGGAGAGGTGGTCCACTGTGGCGTTCCCCGAAGTCTTAATGTACCTGGTAACAAATTCCACATTTAAATTAAGACTAAATAACAAAATGAACCAAAGAAACTGGTTTAAAACACAAAGCTAAAATGATGCTAAATTGGTTAAGCAAAACTAACTGAAACAGAACTGGCTCACCTTGTCAGCGTGGCGTCTTCTTTCTCCATTAGCGTCGGGTGAGGGCGGAACACCAGCTCAATCTCGCTGGCCCCGTCCATTGCCATGTCCCCTCCTCCGTTCTCTGTGGCATTGTCCATGTCCAGTCCAGAATCGTCTGAGGTTTTGGTTCGTTTGATGCTGGGTCCGGCCTCT